GTGTAGGATAGCTCGGGAAGCGCCGAGGTTCTCCTCAGGATCTGTGGCATCCCCTAGTCTTTCTTCCTTTGGATTCCAAAATAAAATATTCCAAATTTGATATTCTCCCATTTAACACTCTTTTGTTTGATCTTTGAAAAGCCTTACCTTTTGAAATCCTTGAAGGCATGATTTTATTATCTAAATTGAGAGTTTTCTTAAGTGAATTTGGTCATTTAAGATGTAATTAACTATAGGAGCTTGCCCTTATAGGTGGGGGTGCAGATTTAGTGTGTAGGATAGCTTGGGAAGCGCCGAGGTTCTCTTCAGGATCCGTGGCATCCCCTAGTCTTTCTTCCTTTGGATTCCAAAATAAAATGTTCCAAATTTGATATTCTCCCATTTAACACTCCTTTGTTTGATCTTTGAAAAGCCCTACCTTTTGAAATCCTTGAAGGCATGATTTTATGATCTAAATTGAGAGTTTTCTTAAGTGACTTTGGTCATTTAAGATGTAATTAACTATAGGAGCTTACCCTTATAGGAAAACTTAAAGAACCTAGTTTAATATAAACCCTACCTAATATTTTGTATTAGGTAGGGGAACTTGTCAGCTTATATAAAAAAAAACGGTTCGCAGACCAAACGGATGTCATAAATTCTTTAGTTTATTTAATCGAGCATCATTAATAAGTCATATGTCTATTCCCCGGGGTAGGTATGTCACTTGTAGTGTTGTGCTTGTTTATTTAAACTATTGTCTATCTGGAATCGGTTCGGTCTCATATTTTAAATAAATTAAAATATTAAATTTTCAAAATAAAAATATTATCTTTCTAAAAATCAAATTTATATGTATATTATATTAAATTAAATTACTTCCAAGATGCAAACAACACACATTATTCACCGCTCACATATAAATGTCATAAATTTTGAAATTAATATTTTTCTAAAAATCCAAAATTTAGGGAAATTTCAATTAAGTTTGAATTAAATAGAAAATCAATATTCCTAAATTTAATACAAAATGTTGTGATACCTTAGATATCATCTGCTTTACTAAAAATTCTTCTAAGTTGAACTATAACATTTATAAAAAAAATAGTTATCTAAGAAAATAAACCCACTTCCAAAGGTTAACATTTAAATTTATAGTGTTACTCGAGGAAAAGTAACGTTTAAGTTCGGGGGAATTGATCCACTTTAAAATTACCTATTTTTTATGCACATTTTATGTCCATTTTCAAGGATATTATACTTTAATGAAATGTATTTTGTTTGTTTTTGGTTACATGTGCAAGAAAAAGAGTTTAAGAGCAAAAAAGAGCAAAAAATACATAAAAAAGGAGCAAAATGGGCCAAACTTACTAAAATTATCAAAATCAGTCGAACTGGCGCCTAGGCGCCTGATGAAGTTTGCGGCTGGCGCTTAGGCGCGACAGCTTCGGCACATAAGCACCAGATTTAATTTCTAGAAGATGCATTGAATGAAGCTAAATTTTAAAGAGATGTCTAAAGCACCCCTTAGTGATTTTTGAAGCCCTATATATAAGGATTAATTCTAAACGTTAAGGGGGAGTTCTAGAGTCGTTTTGAGAAAGGGAGGCACCCATCTAGAGTGGACGACCTCGACGACCTCCTTAGTGAGGTTGTGTTAGTCTTTGTGATTTCTAGAGTATTGTGAGTCTTGTAAGAGTTTTATGGAGTCAGAGAAGTCAGGGAACTTTAAAGGAGTACTTGGGTAAACATTTCAAATAAGTATTTGTATCTTTTTCTTTAAGTATTGTTCTTTTGATTTAAGTTTTATAAATATGTTTTTTTTTTGTTATCCCCATGTGTTATGAGTAGTTTTCTTCTTTCTCCTTGCAATATGAAGTAATCAAGTGTTGGTTTTGATTTGTTTAGAACTTCTTTTAATGAATTTCATTTTATTCCACATATTTTGGATGGTATTTTTACCGGTTCTTCATTTACTTTGCAAACAAGCCATTTGTTTTGTTAAAATTTGTTGAGAAACTTACAGATCTGTTAGGGTTAAGATTTCTTAAACTAGTGAGTGTCACACTTCACTTCAGAAAGAGCCATGGTGATTGCATGAGGAGGAGTGCAAATAGATAGGGAGATAAGATTTGATGGGCATAGAATTGATGTTCTAGGGTGACATGCTAAATTCTTTTATCAATTTGGTCTAGAGATTGAAACTAAGGATCACTAGCAGGTCCTATAGAGAGGGCACATTGGGTGATCTAGAGGGGAGAGACTAGAGCCTACCCAACATTACTATACATGCCGACACCAACTTTAGATTAGCCAATGTTCTTTATGCTCGAAAGAGAAAAATAATACGATTGCTCCTATTTATCACAATACATTAGTTAAACTTCTAAACAATTGCTTTCCTACATTGATTAAGGATTATTTGCAAGGAGAAAGTCTCTTTAAATATCTTGAATTTTCTAATTTTAGTTATTTCCAAATCTCTGCATTTACTTTTAAGTTGCACTCGTAGTAATTAGTAAAATGTATTTCATACTTGAATTACATTCATATTTTCCTAGATTATATTCTACTGTTTAATGTAAAAGTTTTTCTTAGTCAAATACATAATGTTACCAACTTCCCTGTGAAATCGATACTTGGGTTTTTAAAGAAAACTCTATATTACTTGAAATGATACGTATACTTACGTAGTACCCCTAGTGTGTAAATTATTTTCTAAATTTTCTAACATATCAATTTTGCACACTAGTCGCTAAATATAAATTGGGTCAAGTTTTTTACCATCTTTTGGAAGTTAAATTACTGCGTAATTGCAGGTTGGGCCGGTGGACTAACATAATATTTTGGTATAACATCCCTAGTCATGATGCTCATAGCTTTCCATCATCCTAGGTTCATTAATATTCTTAGACTAGTAACCAACCAGATAGTCAGATGTCTCCACTTAATATTATAAAAATGGCTTATGTGATCTTCTTACCATAGATATTTTGAGGTACCTTTCTCTACAACTATGGGTTAATTCATCCTAAGGCATCCATATAATCATAGATGATAAGGATGTTTGTTTTAGAGGTCTTGGTCCTCAACACTAACTAGGGGTGTCTAGTAATCTTTACTAGACTTCTAGACAGGACAATTTTAGGTGATGTGTGATCCTGGATTTTGTTCCTATATTAGCTAACTAAAAGTTTACAGTTGATCTAACTAGTGTTAGTTTTCGTCAAATAAATTGATGAATTTTAAATTTATTTTTGTATTTGATATTTAATTCATGACTTAATTCAATTTCTAGTTTGTTGATCAACATGAAAATCAGAGCATTCTATGTTTGAAGCATTGCATTCAATTTTCTATCCTAAGTTAATGTTCTTTGATTTTCTCCTAAATTTGATGTTTAGTTTTGATTTACTATTCTTTGTTGATGCTTATATGTAAAAAGGGTCCTATATATGTCATTTAATGCTTAGATTTTCAAAACTTATGTTTCATATACATGCTTAAGTTTAAAATCTTTCTTTTCACACATATGAACAAGTAAATTTTGATAAATATATGCATAAAATGTTTTTAAGGCATGAAGGTACTATTAATCCTGTAAATTATCTAAGCAAAAGAAATGTGTAAGTATAAAAATGCTTAAAACATGTATGTTTATGAGTTAAGTTTATAAATCACATGTTCTTGAACAAAAATATTTTCATTTATAGGCTAGACATATAAACATGTACACATCATCAACCTGGCCGTTATGTCTTTAAACATAATCTCTGATATCAATTGATGCAAAAAGCTAATGAAATAAATGAAAAAGAAGAGACCAGAAATATGATATTGATTCAATTGCACAAAGTTATTCCGATAAAAGTAATATTAAAAGATTAAAAAAAGTCAAGTCATACTAATCGGGAGTGTTAATGCATAAATTAGCTACCAAGTAAACAACTTCTAAGATAGCCAAAATGGATGCAAATGAGCAAATTGAGTGGAGCAGAATCACTCTCATCCTTGCAAACTTGAGTCATGCGATTGATTTCCACAATAACTTACGTGTACTGCATGTTTGATAAGATTTATGAGGATGATTCATGAAGCTCATCATAAAAAGTGGAATAGAAGCATATTTCAGCCTTATAATAACACCATGCAGCTTGAAACTTGTTCTACGCACTCACATAGTAATATCAACTTTCAACATTGAAAAAAATAAATCATTTAAATAAACATGTCTTGAAATTCATCTGGTAACATCCCCATGCAAAAAAAACCTAACAGAAGTTTACCTTGTAAGAATTTAGGGGGACTAAAAAAGAATTCAAGTTACCATAAGCTAAAGGAAATTATATTATAGTTAATTTTGCTGAAACACAATAAGCTATATAGTAGCATACCTAGCTTCTGGTTCTGAGAACCTCCTATCATGTTGTCTTTGTCGAAGGACATGCAGGTCACCACCGGGACAATACTCCATAACTAAACATAAGAGGTTGTCTGTTGTAAAATTTGAAAATAATGTTGGAAGAAATGGATGATCAAGCATTTGTAGAATATCTCTTTCAGTTTGTGCACGCAAGATCTTCTTTCTACCGATCAAGGATTCAGTATCCATCACTTTAAGGGCAAAAAAGCATCCGGATTCAATTAGCTCAGCAAGATAGACAGTTCCAATGTCTCCACATCCAAGCTTTTTTATTAGTTTGAAGTTCCTTATATCCAAGCCTCCATGTTGATTCAAAACATGGTGTATAGCTGTCCATCTTACATCCTTAGACATGTGAGGACGAGCCACACTAGAGCCACTATTGTTGCTCTCATCACTATTACTTGTACTGCTGCTGTTTTCACCAAGGCTACTTATTGAGCATTGTGACCAATTTCCCTTCTCTTTTGACCTTGAGTATTTGGTCAGTTTAGCAGCAGTGGCACTTTTGAAGCTAAAACTAGTTGGACTGCAATGATTCTCACAGGCTACATTGTCCTGGTTTCTGGCTCCAACTGTAACAGCCTGCTTCACAGTACCTGATGATGCAGAAATAGGCTTCACACACCTATTAGAATTTGCAGATGGCTGCACTGTTTCCTGCATACCCTTCTTAGAGAGAAAATTGTTTCCGACTGTTGTTTTGGTTATTTGAGGACTTATGATGCTAGGCACATTCAGCGCACTTCCTTCATCAAGATCAGACAAGCAAGCTTTGTTGTATGCTTTTCTTGCTATATCTGTATCTGATGTCCCAGACGAGCGACCCCAGTTTTTTGGTGTTGATGCAGCACTATGTGGAGCAGAAACCGCTTTTGAGAGAGAAGCTATGACATGCCGGATTCTTTTTTTAGTTAAATTTTCGTTTAAAGCAGCTTTACTTGGAGAAGAAATAGATTCCATACGAGAAATCTCTACATGACATGTACCGCAAACCTGAGTTCCTTCATGAGACAAATTTAGAAAAGTACTTCTAGGAGCAATAGATACATCAGATAAATTCCTTTTCCGTTCACCAACAGAAAGACCACATTCATTCTCCTCCGCAACCATTGATGTATACAACTTTTTAATTGTGGAAGCATCGGAGACACCAGATAAGCTGATTGGTTTTGACCACCTCTTCATTGCAGCCTGTTCTGATGCCTGCGTAATGCATAATCTTCTTAAAGCTTGTTTCATTGTTACAGATTCAGAAATTGCTATTCCTGATGCTTGTGATGCACTAACTCGAATAGCTTCCCTAGATATTTCCCTGTTCCGTATTTCTCCGAGAACCTGACGTGAAAAGCTCAGCAGCTTGGGTGATAATCGAAGATCAATTGATTCAATGACCTGATTAAGGTCATCCTGAGAATGTAAAGCATGAGAATTATTTTCTCCTTCTCTTAGCTTAATTCGCGGTAGCTTTGGCCTATTAGGATGATTCCAAAAGTTGAACTCCTCCCCAGATTCAATGATCTCAGAAGTACCGCCAGAGAAACCCATTTGGATTCCAATAAATATCAATGCTAGAACATAGCAATAACTAACTATCTTATAAAAGGATCTGGCGTATGTAAATAACCATAGACAACCAAACCAGAACTTTAGAGACAACCACCTCTAAGCGTTCTAATTCCAAGATTCAATGTCATTAATGGGTAATGCTACTCGTCCAAACGAACAAGAACAAGCAAATCTGGCCAAAAAAATTAATTAGTTAATGAAAAAAGCACGAAGAATTGAGGCCACTTTTACAACGCCGCCCCCTCCCCCGGGAAAAGGAAAAACAAAAGACAACAAGAACAACAACATTATTGAACTTCGAATAGTTTCATGCTACCACACAAACACCAGAAATGCCAAAATTAGGATAGTAAACTGTTCAAATGAAAGGAGGGTATCAAATTGGGCATTACATCTTAAGATTGCAGCTTATGTCAATTAACAAAGCTAAAGCATTAAAACTACACAAAATAAATTAAGTTAAAGGTTCTAGTAAAACCTACCTGCCATACGTATTTGTTAGAAGCTATATTAGAAAATAATTTATTATAGTGAGAAGTTATAAGGAATAAATTATTTCCTTGAATTGGATTTATTTTCTTTCTTATTTTATGTTGTTTCCTTATCTCCAAAACAATTTATATGAATTCATTAATTAGAGATATTAGGAGTTATTTCTTTCCTTTCTGTTTTTTTTTTTTGTATTTCCTATTTTAGGATTCATATAAGGGTTATTTATAACTCATTTTCATATCAATGAAAAGATTCTGTATTATTCTAAATTTCAACATAGTATCAAAGCCTAATTTTGTACCCTAGCCACTAGTCCTCCTTCCAGAACCGTCAGACTCCCTTCTTGCCGTCCTCTATGCGAGAAGGAAGGCCCTTCCCAAGCCGGGAGCTTCAACTCTACCGGCCTCCAAAAAGCAAGCGACAGTTTCCCAACAGTTTTTCTCCCTACTGTCTTTCCTCCCATAGAGATCTGTTCCGTGGAGAATTTTCAGCTGTTGGCTGCCCAACATTCTTTTTTTCCATAAAGAGCTATTGCATATCTACCGTGTAGATCTATGTTCGTCGGTTCCCCTCTTCTCTACAGGGTTTCTAAGAGTTTCTATCGTCGATCCTTCCGGCAAGTAGTTCCAACTGCCGGACCAGACCTCCCTCTACTGAAGAGTCGATTCTTCGATTCCAATCTTGAGCCTTCTTGCCACGAGACTAGAGAACATCTTGAGTAACGACGTCCTTGAGATCCTCGTCTAGGGTATAGTCCCAATGGTGAGGCTTCAATTTTCATTTAAAAATGAGATTGTATATTCTGACTGGATTAAATCAGAGGAAAATATTTGAGGCTTCTAATCCATGTGTCAAAACTCTAATCCTCTTATAGATATAGCATTGGTGTTTCTTGTTTGGATGCATTAAATCTTAGGAGAGGTAATTAAGTAGTAATACATGCAACGAAGCTCTCATCTAATTAAGACTAATCCTCTTCTGAAAAATGGGGTTTATTGTTCTCATTACTCTTAGACTGATTAAATGTAACAGATTTGATGCATGCTAAACATATCATGGTGGTAGAGTAATAGATTATCATCTTAGCGTTGAACAAGAATTCAGCACATACTCAGATAAAAACAAACAACAAGTAGAAATACCAAAAATTTTTATGTGGAAAACTCGGAAAGGGACAAACCAAGAGATTTAGCCCAATTGCAGAAATTCACTATAAATTTGTGATTACAGTTACAACCTATTGTCCCACAAGTAGGAAAATGTTGCATAGTTTCTTTAGTTACAATGACATTGCACGGATGAACTTGTTGTAAGAAGTGAGCGGCGATCGATGATGATCAACAACAGTCTGTAAAAGGTGGCCGACAGCGGTCGATGACTAGTAGTCGGTGAAGGTCGTCGACGAGGTAATGTTGGACTTCAGTTCCTTCTTTAAGCTTCAAGCTCTTCTCAGGTTTCAAACTCTTCTCTCTCCACATTTATAGTCCCGATTGCAATTAATAAAAGAATATAAACCACTATGATCAAACGGTCAGGAGAGGTTCTTTTGATCAGATGACATTTGATGGAAATTTGAGGGCCTTAATGATGTTGGAAATGAGCGATCTTGGGCTCATTGAAATTATCTCGTCGAGACGCTCGATTCAAGTATAAGCTTACCAGATTCTGCATTTGTTTTACTTTCCAAATATGCTCAGAAAGCTTCAAAGAGTGGTTTAATGACTTGATTTGAGCTTTGATTTGACTTGAATTGAACCAAGTTTGGTATCATTGGGTCAGTGTCATTGAGCCAGTCAGTTTGACTATAAGTTTACTAAAATCGAAGCTCTAGATGACTTAAAGTTTGACCATTTTTTACCTAAAATATTGCCTCGAGCTCTGTGTCAGTTGATGAAAATTTGTTGGTGTATCAAGATTAGATTTGAAGAGAGATATCTGAGATTTATAATCCCTTAAGAAAAAACTGCAATTCCCTTCAAAAATGAGTTTGAATATCCTAATTTGTAAAAATATTTTTTAGGAGAAATACAGATCTCAATATAAGTACTTCAGATATACTTAATGAGGTGTACATAGGTGATTGATAGTTGTTGATTATCAATGTTGAAGAGAAATGAGAAGTCAGAAGGTTGTTCCTGATCTCAAAGTCCAAATTAGGACGATCATCTATAGTTAGGAAAATAAAATGGGATTAATTTTGTATCATAATAAAATAGACCCTTTTAAATTAATTTAGTAAAGTTAATAAATTAAATTATAGGAGTATGATACTTTGGAATGAAATAAACCACATACAAATAACTAAGGGACTATTTTGGAACTCAATATGTTTATCTAAAGATACTCTAACTATTATTAGTGAGCATTTATAATTTCGTTGGTCTTAATATGAGTTGTAAAATGATAAATGAAATCAGTGAGGGAGAGAATGCCATGCATTAATGAAGAGTAGAATGGGCAAGGATGAAGGCTATTGTGGGAGAGAAAAATGTCGTGCATTAATTAACTCCGAATGTTTGGCAAAATTTTGAAAATAATATTTGAAAATATTCCTTAAGGAACACTATTTCATTCTAGCAATCCTATAAAGGTGTGAGGAATCTCTGAAGATTCTTTGATTGGTGATAAAATATTTCATAAATAAAATAGTAAGTTCAACAAACATATAGTGACCCAATAAAAAAGAAAGTAGAACTAAATGTGTGTCTAGTGTGGTAAAAAAATGAGGCACAAAAGTGCATCATAGGCTCATTGGACAATGCATGTTAATCCCATCACAAAGAACGTGTTTGGAAAGGTCATAAGTGTCACGACCTGACTCGGGGCTTCGAATTAACCAAGACGGGAACAGACGGTCGGACAATGGGAATTAAATTTTTTATATTCATTCTCTATAAATAATATTTTATAAATGAATGAGTCACTTAAATTAAAACAGTATATTTAAATTTACCAACTTACTCGATGTACGCCTTCCAAACAAATTAGAAATGCTTTGGTTAATAAAAACATCCCTTTGATTTACCCTATATTTAAAAAAAAAAAAATGTTACACATTGCATTGCACTTTAGGCTTTGAAAACACTAATAAACTAGGCTGTCAAAACGGCTTGTTGTTCGCAAACAGCTGAACACTCTTGTTCAGCTCATTCGCTAGGTAAATGAGCCAAACATGAACAACACGAATAAATAATTGTTCGTTCGCATTCAGCTCATTTTTGGCTCAAAATACTACTAATCAATCATATATATATTTATATATATATGATGAGTAGTGTTTTTAAAAAATTAATTGACTACAAGGCTACAAAGATTTATAATTAATTAAAAGAATTAATCAAGTAAATAGAATCAAAATTATTAAATTAGATTCAAATGATATTTTAAATCTTGCCCCAATTCTTTAACATTTTATGACTACGTGATTAGGGTTGTCAAAACGACTCTTTGTTCGTGAACGGCTCGTGTTCGGCTCGCTAAGCAAACGAGCCAAATAAAAACACGCTTTTTGAGCTTGAAATATAAACGAGCCGAACACGAGCTGAGCCTTCGTGTTCAACTCGTTTACATCCCTACTAATAAACATCTCCGAATTTTACAAGTGCTGATCATGAAGATGTGTTCAATCTAACCCCTTTATGAGAGTTCACATTTCAACAATGCGGATCATGTCTCCTTAAAAATCTTGCAAGATGAATCAAAAAGCAACAGTAACTTTAATGTCAAAGAGAGTTCTTACATTTGTAGCAGAGAAACGAATAACATGTACAACATGAAGTTTAATAACAACTACATGAAGATCAAATAGACCATGGCATATGTTGTTTTATATAGTTGTTCCTTTTTCTATTCAGGCAAACAGATGAAATGCTATATATAAATGGTAGGCTGACAGGAGACAACATAATATGATTTTCCTGTTTAAATTGGGAATGATAGGGCGAGCGAGGAAAAGGAAGAACCCGAGTGCCACCTGGGCTCTGCCTTCAATAGAATACATAGTTACTTGTTCCTATGCACCAAAGTGCCTTTATAGAGCATATATATTCATAAAAAATTATCATTACCTTCAGCAACCCTGATAGTTGGATTTAGAAACAAGTCCCTCCAACTCCTCAGCAACTCTAATTGTTGGCTTTAGAAACGAGTCCCTCCAACTCATCCACAACAGCAACATAGCAAAAGTAGAATTGTTCCTGATAGTAGTAGAAAAATGAAAAACTAACCCACACTAGCAACCGAAAAAAACTAGCTGATTCAGGATCAATAATCCAATGAGAAAACTGTTGTAGCCCAATCCTATATCTATCATGTTAATGGAGTATACAGGCATTTTAAAAATAATCACAACATTTTCATATCACATCAAATGATCAAAAAAATAAATAATTTACATTTGTAAAAGGTGAAATAATGAGAAACTCAAGAAGCTCATTCAAAAGAAGAGCTAACAAGCTTAAGAAACCTAAGAACTAGCAGAGGAGAAAAATGATTATTCATTGCTTAGGGCATCATTTCTTATCATTTGCAACAATAATAAATGGCTAAGTTGCCAGAAACGAAAGCAAAATAAATTGCTAAATTATTTGAAATCAAAGATGTTGCTTACCAATGTCTGAACCATTCCCATCCGCTGTGATCTAAAATCAAGAACAGTTTTAGCAAGATCTAAAGCAGACATATCACCAATGAGAACTCTCTGGATTGTGTTATGAATCACACAATATGTACCAGTTCGACCAATGCCTGCACTGAACATATTAAAAAAAAACTATTAATAAAAGTGATTAACTAATTATCAAAAGATTGGTGGTGCGGCCTGACCTTTAGATCTTAGAAAATATAATAAAAAAGGTGAGAGGGAGCAAGTAACAAGACATGCAAGCCTCATGCCTTAACAAGAAAAAAATATTACATCAGGACTCCGCACGTAGAGTAACGTGTGGAATCGAATGAAATCAGGCCACATAGAAAAAAGAAATTTTGCCCAGTAACACAAGGAAATATTCCTCTTATGTTATTCATATGTTATTGTGTGTTATTCAAGTATTATTAATGTGTTATTATATTATTATAACACCGGGAATATTCCCAGAACACAATAGCACATGAATAACATATAATATCTGAATAACATACAATAACACCTAAAAAACACGGAATAACACCAGAGGAATATTCCCTTGTGTTACCGGGTCGATCGCCTCCACGACGTAATTTTATTGGACTCACCCAAGAAAATATTCATCCCGTGTTATTCAAGTGTTATTGTGTGTTATTCAAGTATTATTGATGTGTTATTATGTTATTATAATACTGGAAATATTCACAGAACAATAACACCTAAATAACATAAAATAACACCTGAATAACATGAAATAATATGAGAGGAATATTCTCTTGTGTTACCGGACCGATCACCTCCACAACGTAATTTCATTGGACTCCGCACGTAACTCTACGTGCGAAGTCCTAATGTAATCTTTTTTCCTTAACAAGAAGAAAAACTCTCCAAGAGTCTTAAGTCTCACACTTGATCAAGGAAGAAAATCCCATAATAATAGTATTAACCATGCCATTAATTATCTTGCATGTTTCAAAATTCTAGTATTTAAATATAAAAAATAGCAAACTACAAAAAATCTTCTAGCAAAATTCTAATGTTTGAACATAAAAAATAGCAAACTAACAACAATCATCTACCAACTTAATAACTAAAATAACACTGATAAAATAATGAAATTTAAGACAATTAAAATAACTCCAATATCCACAACAAAATAAAAAGTCCAAGTTTACGTCTAAATTAATTGGACCAAGTATTTTCCTATTTCAGTTGGATTACATCAAAGAACAGCTTTAAGCCCATATCTTTTTGCCTTAGTTATGGATGCTTTTACTAGACATTTATAGAAGAAAGTACCTTAGTGCATGTTTTTCGCTAATGATTCTTCTTGTAGATAAGAACAGAGAAAGAGTTCAAGAAAAACTCAATTTATGGATGTCTACTTTTGATTACAAAGGCCTTCGTTTGAGTAGATCTAAAACTGAATACATGGAATATAATTTTAGTAGTAGTATATCTGGTGGCAGAGTTGTAACAACGGGCGATCAAATCATTAAAAGGAGCGAACATTTTAGACATAATGGGTCTATTTTTTAAGGTGATGGTGATATAGATGAGGATGTTATTAGCAGAATTCAAGTTGGATGGTTGAAGTGGATGAGTGCATCAGGCCTATTGTGCGATGGAAAAGTACCACTTAGACATAAAGTAAAATTTAGTAAGATGGTGGTGAGACCTGCAATGCTTTATGGCGCAAAATGTTGGTGTATAAAAGATAAGCATAAAGTTAAGTGCTTGTTGAGATAAAAATGCTTAGGTGGATGAGTAGCTTTACAATTAGACAAAATGCAAAACAAATATATCCGTGAAAGAGTTTGTGTAGCTCCAAGGGCAGAAAAGATTAGAGAGAGTCGTCTTAAATGGTTTGATCACATTAAACATCGAACATCTATTGATCCGGTTAGGAGAGTTGATGTTACAGATTCGACTTATGTTAAGAAGGGTAAAGGTAGACCTAAAAAGACACAGACATGTTGTGTAAAAAAGATACTAATTTATTAGAATTAAATAAAAATATGACACTAAATAGAACACAATGGAGAAAAAGGATTAACACAATGGAGAAAAATAGAACACAATGGAGAAAAAGGATTCATATAGTCGACCACACTTAGTGAGACAAAAGCTTGTTGTTGCTTCTAAAGTTCCTGTGTCTTTTTCAAACTACATTGGTGGGACAAAAGCTTGTTGTTGTCTTCTAAAGTTCCTGTGTCTTTTTCAAACTACATTGATTTAATGATTATAAGAATTAAACCTGCAGTGCACAATGATAGGACCAAGATTAGCAGGAAAATGATATGTCCTCTTTAGAATTTCTCGAACAACAATAGTGTCTTGAGGTACTCCATGGTCAGGCCAATCAGCGTATTGAATATGCAGAACAGTCATGGAAGACTCTTGAGACTGCAAGAAAGAGACAAATTTTGAAATGTTAGCAATATATAATTTTCATTAAACGTAATAGATAATTTTTTACAGCATTCTACTTTATCCATGACTGGTATTAAAACAATACAAGAGCATAGAAAAATGGGTATAAATTTTTTTCTATAGCATTCTCGCAGACCATGTTTGTAAAGATCCAAAAATTACTGATGTAACTGATAAAAATAAAATTAATTTTTTAGTCAATTAAAATTTTCAAGAGAATTTTAAAATTTTATCAAGCACTCAAGATCAACTTTACATAAAATAGACTAATTTCTCAAAATAAATAAATAATAATTAATTAAATAAATAGTACGGTTGCTTCCAATATAGTTATAAGATTAAATGAATTTGCATTAAGTTCAGAAATTATTGCTTACTATTTTTATAATATAATCATTAAGTTATGCTGTAACAAAAAAAAATGAAACAGATAATGCCGTGTTGGTCATGCCACTATAGGAACGCCAAGGGGCTTGATTGAGTAGAGAGAGAGAGGAGAGAGTGAGAGAGTGAGCGATCAACGATCCAGTGAGAGAGTGAGAGCAAGGCAGAGAATCAAAGCAATGGAACATGAAGTTGCAAGAGCAGAAGACTGAGCAAGGTGAGGAGGAAATAGAGCACGGATCTTGCGGCCGAGCACGTATACTTCAGTCACATAATGAGATGTTCTGAAAATATACAAATGATGCACCGAAAGCTATTTCTGGAAAGAGAAAGAATAGGTTCGGGTTTGCAAGTATTTTGTTTTATCTTTCTTTTAGTTCAAAGGTAAACCTTGAACGAATGTTACGTGCTTTCACTTTTTTAAGATGAAGAAGAACAAATTTTGAAAGGATAATATGCTAAGGTTTTCAAGAAGAATTTTTTTTAAAAATGCAAAATTAATTTAGGTATATCCTAGAATGAACTTCCTTCATAAACATATTAAAGCTTTTTCAGACAGTTCTAAGGTTCCTACAATGCGTTTAGAAAACCATGATAATTGTTGGGGGTGTTGGTAGAATAGTGCGGAAGCAAAATATAACAATCCCGCAAGGATTGGAAGGGGAAAATTAAGCTTTGATGCTTCTCAGTTGTAAGATAACAGGAAAACACCACCTGGCGGTAATATCAGCAAGGATGAACATCAAGATCCATCACTTGCTCGAGATCAAGCTACAGTCAGGATACTTAAAAGAGAATAGGATGCAACACTCCTAAAAGTGAGAAATCTGAAAAAAAATCTCAAAACATCATAGAACAACACCCAAGCAGTGTCAAACCAGTCCAAAAGAAAACGTATATATAATTCCAAAGCAAATTAATCCTTGTAGTAGTGCTAATTAAGGAAACGAAGGTCTTAAAAGGGCCAGCCCAGCCCTTTGAGGTTGAAGGATCTAAATTGTCCTGAGAAAAGAACAGGATGGTCTGATGCCGTGCTTTACATTTCTGGTTGGGACAGAAATGGGAGACGTCTATCATTCTCCTCAGATAGGAGGGGCTTCATCTTCTTCACTAGAGGCATTTGAATGTTCATAATATGGTGACAGGTTTGCAACATTGAAGATAGCAGAAATATATTAATCCCCAAGCAGATCAATATTGCATGTAGTCATTGATCTTCTAAACAATTCTGGCTTGAACTTCACAAAAGAATACACAGAAAATCTCCACTTCTTTAGTATGATCCACACCTTTTTTAAAAACCATACCTTTCCTGGACTTGTTATACTACATCTAATATTTGATGCTCTGCTTAGCGATTTCCTTCCTCATCTGCTCATGCAGAATTTGGAACTTACTATAGTTTCTATACCGACACTGAGATCATTATCTGTAAGTATTAAGCACTAGTTCTAATAGTGTGAGGTTGTCTCACCTGTACATTATCTTAAAAAGGTAGTTACCTGTGGGCTGATGAGTGGACCTGTCATAACTCAAATTGAGGAAGAATCAAATCTCAATGCCTAAAACGTTTTTTCTAGAAAGTCTTGAGAATTTCCCAAGCACTGATGCACCGGTTGAATTTGTTGCTCTCTTTAGGGGTGAGTTGTTGAACTAAATTGGAGCTTCATACCTAGCTTATCTCATAAAGTCATTCAAAAGTGACTCAGAAATTTCACATCTTTATGTGAAGTGATGCCCCTAAGCACATTATAAAAATGGACGATCTCTTTACAGTATAAATCTACATTGTTTGAAACATCCATTATCTTGTGACAAGATATTAAATGTATCATCTTAGAGAAGCAATTGTAATACCCTATTTTTGCGAGTTCTGCCAGTTTTGCAAAATCAGGTGAAAATTTAGACAATCATGAAATATCGCCAAATTTCGCATCTCTCAAAATTTGACCGAGCCAATTTATAAATTTTACACGTCAAATCAATCAAATTGATAAATTATACCATATATGAATTAAAAGCATATGAAAGTTATAAAAATTTGAAGTTATAAGCTTAATTAACTCTAATTAATTCCTTCATTAATTCCCTAATCTCATACAATATTTCCACCAAATTTAGTACGCAGAACTCAATCGTCTGATGCAATCAAAAGGCTACGAGTCATTATGAGGAGGGTAAATATTGCATAGAAGTCTTCGAATCCGATTCACCTCTCTTCATTCGTATCAGCTTCAAAAGTTCCACGATCGCGGCACTGTAGCAAGCGCGACTAACACGACCGACAGAGTGTCGTGAACCTCAATCAAGGGCTCTGAGATGAAATCGGTAAAAGGGAATGTCATTTTCACACTAATTGGCAAATTAATTTCCTTTCCTATGATTTCTTTTTGAGATTTTTCACCATTTGAAGAGCTCTTTAGTTCCTGGACACTGTTGCAAGAGACGAACTAATGTAGAAGCTATGAATTGGGATTTGGCTTCTCAGTAGGGCTATATGTAAATAAATCAAAGAAATAAGAGGAAGAAAGGAAGGTCAGAAGGAGGAAGAATAGATGAGGAGGGAATTAGAGAAGGGATGGCCATGTAAGGAAATCCATTTGAGGTAAATATTGGCATGTAACTTTTCTTGTGGGTTAATTTAAGACCTAAGATAAGAATTCCTGAATTTCGGGTGGTTTATACTAAGCGGCGAGCTCAAGATGACTTAGGGAAAATAATCATAGGACAGCTCCGTCGATTCATGTGAAATAATCTTATGTTAAATTAAAAATAATATATTTCATTAGAATTTGATATGCTTTCTTGGATGAGTGAATGCTTTTAAAATTTCTGCATATTGAAGACATGCTTATGTGAATACTAGTTGGTACTAACTCTAATTATTATTATGATTTTCTTATGATATTGATGTCATGAGTATATTATTTTCTTGCAGGTATTCTTGTCATAATAATTATGCATTGCCTATGAATATTTATTACAAAAATTATGATTATAAGAATGTCACAAGTGTTGTAATAGGTAGACTATTATATGAATGTTTATAAGTATGAATAATAGAAAATGATGAGATTTCTCACTCCTGATATTCAGACAGTGACAAAACTCTAGGAACCATTTATATCAAACAGAGGGAAAGAAAGAACTATTGATATCAGGGGCTATTGAAAACTGCTATGTTGGGAAAGACCCAACCTTTATCAAAAATTAATTTAATCTTTGGGTTAGGTGATGACCCAATGACATGACATGTCAAGAGAATAGTTGATGTCTATACAATTCAAAGTCATATTATTATGATTAAATTGATGACTTATAAATATATTTATGATTATACATGAATTGATAAACTACATGTTTTATACAGTTGTCATGATTCTCTCCATTACATATCTTTTCCTTTAAATATTTTATACAATTATAATATATTGTAGCATGTGCTACGAACATATACATAAGTTACACATGAACATTTATATTTTTTTTCCGTCTATTAAAATTTTTATTTAGCCTCAATTATTTCGTTGAGATTGTTGTAGCTCACTCTATATAGTGACTTTAGGAATGGGTAAGGAGCACCAGGGTGAGTACTCAAGTGTGATGTTTATGGCTTTTGCATTATATAGTTCAGGAGGTTACACATATTTAAATGCATATTTTTATTATTTTGGAATTTGTAGTTCTATATATAAGTTTTGTTGATATGACTTCTTCCACGTTTCCAAGTATATGTGGATGTGAATGAATTATTAAATGTATTATGTGCGCTTGAGCAATTTAGTCAGATTAGTTCACCTATTGGGTTCCATTATGCAAAGTCAGGACGATGCTGATGAGAATTTAATATGACCGGATTGTTCGCCTCTGCTGCACCACGGTTGACCCGGAAGAGGTGGGGTCAGTCAAGGTGTGACCGAAAGTAATAGCAGGGCTAGGTTGGACGAAAATAATGATCGAAGCGTATTGGATTTAGAAAAACAAGAATAAGATCAAATATATATTGATTGATACGAAGTTAAAGGTTGATTGATTTGGGTGGGTAACCCATATGACTTAAGATATATGCACGACATAATTATTATAGGAATTGTATTGAATAATAAATTATGTCAATACAGTTACATATGTCTTGAGGATGAATTAGAAAGAGTTGAGGTTAGGCTTCTAAGCCAATTGCAGAACAAGAAATAAAAGCTGAAAATGACTTGAATAGAAATGATATTCAGAATAGAGTAAATAAAGAAATTAGAGCCACTGAGTTGCATGGTATTGTTCAGTTAATACAACAAGTGATTGACAAAATAACTATTATTGAAAGATCTTCTACAAGCATAGATCCCAGATCTGATCATAGTACAGAAGTTGATCCAAATTTGAAGATCTTCAGACATTCAAGTCATCTGCATCTTAAGATGCTAGTGATCCTATAGTTGTTAGAGATTTGGCTATTATAAAATCAAAAAGATTCTGGACGGTATGGTTTGTTCAAAGAACAGGAGAATGGTGTTAGTCACTTTCATGTTAGAAGGCAAGGCGAAGAGGTTATGGCAGATACAACATAAAGAGAAATTTCAACTAACACAGTG